TCCTGCTTTATTAATAATCATGTAGTTAGTGGGGGAAAAAGTTATTTTGCATATTCAAGCCTAAAAGTGGAGTGTCTGAAGTGTGTTTGTGACAGCAGGGAAAAGATTAGCCACTGTAGTAAGCATACCTTGTATATATGGTAGCATATATCTGTGGTAGGATCTTACAGCAGAGAGTTTAGTAGAAGTTTGTGCCTACTGTCCAATCTCACTTAGAGCGAGCAGAAGTACAGTGCTGAAAGGATAATGGCAGTCTAAACAAATGGTAGGAAGGGTTGCATACCTGTCCAGCAAAGTGTATTTATTAGTAAGATCTATTTTAATATGTTGACTGCAAGTGCAAAGTTTTTAACGCAGAATTTTGTGTACAGTCTGCTGAGGCAGAAGTGAACTACTTAGGGGTGGCCAAATCTCTGGAAATGTATGGAGTGGATCTCCATCCTGTTTATGTAAGTATTGTTTAAATATTTTAAACTTGGTAAAAATGAAAAACATTTTCTTGTATTTATATAGTTTAATTGCCACAGAATAACTTGAAAGGAAACGCTGTACTTAAGAAATGCAAAGGAAAACATATTTACAGACTGAGGGGATTCAGTCGTTCATGCATATGGAAGCTTAATGGTTTTCAGATGAAAGGCTGTGATTGTGTTACACCTATAAATGACAACCAGTTGCATTCTGGAAAAAACAATTCAGATAAATAAGTAATTAGTGCAAGTGTCAGGAGAGATGAGAGAGGGTTATAACCTCTGTCTTTGACACAAGAAGTTTGCACATTATTCTTGTGTAAATAACAGCAATTGTGTCCTGAAACCTTTTCAATACCATTGCAAAAAGTAGGGCGGGGTAGCAGCAGCATGTCTGGCTTTTTTTAATATTCGTTATGAAGGTTTTGCCAGAGTACCTTTCCAGCTTTTCCTCTGCTGTATCATGCAGCATTGCAAGTTGTCTGTATTGCCTCAGCAAAACTCTCCACTTCTTTTGTAAAACAGCATGTATGTTGGGATTGGATCCAAGTTATCACCTGGAGGCTATGTGCTCCTGGTGGAAACATCATTCTATCTTGTTTGAATAATTGCGCTTGTGGCAGGTTTTTTTGAATAAAAGAAAATCAGAAGTTCAAATGGGGAGTTGTAATGTAGATAGATAGTTCACTGAGTTAGATGTCAGTACTTTGTAAAATTACTTGAAAGAAAATAAAGAAATCAAGATACTACCAGAAGATTAAGTATGTATTTACTGCTGAAAATTGTGTAGCCTGCAATATGAAGTATTTTTTAACGCACCCTGTGGCTTAATTGTATTCATATCCCATGCCCTGTGCCCCTCCCACTCGTAGAAAGCTGGGGGAGTTACTGGAACAAGATTCAACATGATCCAACAAAATCATATTAAATTAGCAGAGCCTGGAATTTTTTTTTTCTCTTACCTTGCTTTTTCTGTGCAATGAAATCCCTGCCTGGGTAATGAGGGGTGAGTTATAATATGCCCAAGTCTGACCCATGAATGTCATCGTTTCTATTTATATTACAACAGCAACAGAAGCGCTCATTTGAGACTGAAGCTGCACACGTGAAGAGATTTAGTTCTTTGCCCCGCTTGGACGTATTAAAAGTAAAGTTGCCTGTAGCAGTTAGTTCACTGTGGAGCACAGGCAGAGCTCGCTTGAGCTTTCTCACATCAGTAGCCACACAGAAGGACACTTTCCACAGCCAGTCCGTCTCACAGTTGATATTTTTTGCGGTTCGTGCTGGTTTAGAGCTTGCAGGGCTCTTCTTCGTTGCCTCAGATAGGGAGATGAACGAGCTTTTGCAACTGACTTTCTTTTAACCTCATGCACTAAGGTTTGCACTCTTTCAGGTGTAGAGTGCATCTGATTTTGGTTACTGACTGTATATTGGGGAGGTGGGGGCCTTCTGCCACTCGGCACCAGGGTTTTCACCCTGTTCTCTCCCGACGTGGTTTGCAATTTGGATACTGACCTCAGGAACGGTTTCCTTTGGAGGAGATGATGCACACGGCTATTTCTTGCATGTGGCTACCCATTCTGAACAAAAAAATGCTCTGAATCTCTCAAAGGAGCTACTTCACTTGGTAGCAGTACGCAGGTCATACTATTTTAGGAGGGAGAAGGCAGCTGTGAGGTTATATTATAGTAGAATAGGTCAGAAGATCGTTGTTTACCTTCAGCTGAAAGTTCAGATGTCTGTTGCATTCATGTCTGAATAAAGAGTTTCGTTTCTGAGTTTTGGCCGTTTGCCAAATAGCCAAAAGTAATTTCTTAAAAAAAAGAAGTTGTTCTTCTTTTTCACCATGGCATGTGGAATCTCCCATTCTTTTCCTCACTGCCTTTCTTTCTTGCCTCTCTGCCTCTATGCCTACAAGTTTTCGTATAGGAGTTTTCATCAGCAGATCAATGACTATTTTGCCATTTGCACAGAGAGTGAAACAGTATGTTCAAACTGGTCATCAGGCTGACTTCCTCACTAGACCTTGCTGCTACAGTGATACAGCTTGCAACTGTATGAATGACATACATTTTTATTTTCTAGGGTGAAAACAAATCTGAATATTTTTTAGGATTAACACCCATAGGAGTTGTTGTCTACAAGAATAAAAAACAAGTAGGAAAATATTTCTGGTATGTATAATTTAAATGTGCAGTCTGTGCTAAAACAGTAACGATGTTGTTGTATGGAAATGTATGATTTGCGGTATCTACTTGAAAGGTTAATTGTATCAATAAAAAAAAAAAAGTATAATTGGAATTCCTAATCTTTGTCTGGATTATATGGATTTTTAATTCTTTTATGATCCAAGTATTGAAAAAAATAGTTCACCTTTACCATAGTCATGCTGAAATATTTAACAACTGCTAATTTTCTGTTGATATCTCGTGCATACCTGAAAAAAAAATCTACTTGTGAATTCCTTTTTGTCTTTGTATATAAATGTATACAACTTTATATTTTATTATGCATGAAATTAAAGTCTCATGAAGTTCTGTCTGTCTTTTTTTTACAGGCCTAGAATTACAAAAGTTCACTTCAAGGAAACACAGTTTGAACTTAGAGTCCTGGGAAAAGATGTAAGTTTTTATTTAAGCCTGAAAGGAAAAAAAAAGTAATCTCAGATCTAATGAAGTGAGAAATTTTGTGTGTCCATCAAAGTCTAATTTATTTTATGGAAATTTACTGCAAGAAGCCATCAAAGTGAAATGAATTTTATTGATAGTTACTGCAAGAAGATTACCTTATCCTCAAGCGTAGTATGTTCCTGATGGTGCTTGCAGTTTTATTAAAGAAAGAGGAGGAAGAAAGATTTTCAGTCCATGTTTTGCAGTCAAGGGGAGAGAAATTCAGCAGAACAGTGCTGAAGTAGGAATTTTATAACAAACCTTTATCATTATATGTTGTGCTCTGTAAATTAGAGTAGGCTACTTCTGCAATGCCTTGTTTATGGTGTTACATAGTGCTTTTAAACTAGACTAAATCTACAGGGAAAGCTACTATTAACCAAAATGTGGATGGAGGAAAACTCACAAATCTGTGACGCACAAGTAATTTTGTACCTTGGAAACAGAAGCAGCCACATAATATAGCTCAAGACCCATTTGTCGCAGTTTTTCATTAGACCATTTGAGAGAAAACAATGTTAGTTCCAGTGGAGCAAGGATAGCAGGTTGATAGTAAGAGAAGAGGTTTTGAGATAAAGTCAGTGGAAAAAAGAGAAAGATATTTATCGCCTATGAAGTATGTGAGGTAGGGGGGGAGGAGAAGAGTGTTTTGGAAAATTATGAAGTGCAGTAAAACAAATAGTTGCAGTCTATCTGTGATTTTTGGTATCTGGTTGAGTTATAAGTTTAGTTTGCTGAGTTATTTTTTGAAAATACTTTGTAGGTCTCTTTGGAATATCAGGACTGAAAGTTTATAGTTTTGAAGAAGTATTAACCTGCTGGCAGCGTTCACCTTTACTGATGATCTACATATCTTCATTCCTCTGTGTAGTGGTTGTTAGTCTCGTCCATGGTTTTTCCATGAGGCTGTTTGGTATGTTCGGTATGTTCTGGGAAATGTAAGTGTACCCCTGAGTGGTTGTCTTGGTTCTGTCCTGGACAGCATTTCTTGTGCCTCTGTAGATGTATTGGCACGTTATGCTTTTGTTACTCCCAAGTGGTTTGTTTCTATTTGGTGTGGTGACCTATGGGAATTTTGTTTCTGATGGTGTGTTTGTTGAAATCGGAGAGTTGTTTGAAGGCTGGGGGAAGGTTGGGAAAACTTTTCTCGATGTTTCATGTGAAGGGTGAATGCCTGTTCATGTATAAACAAGTCCGAGTTTGACTTAGAGTGAATTGCATTGAAGTGATGCTGTAGTTTCTGTTTGATGCCATATATATATAGTTTTTGTCTGAACCATGTGGAATTGCAAAGGTTTAACATGCTGAACAGAAAATCTAGAAGCTTTGGAAAACGTACTTAAGTTGAGACTGTGAATGTTGATGGCTGGTGAACACTTACTATTGTGATCATAAGGCAAACACTTTGACAGCACTTGGTAATTTCAAGTCTCGACAGGTACTTTTAGGAAATTGTTCAAGAGAACAGTAAGTACAAGGGTGTGTACCATCATTAAAATCTCCTTTGCAACTAATACTCATTTGAAGTGTTTCTACACTGTTTCATATCCTAATAAGATAAGGAAAGGCCAAAATGGCCCAGAAAAATCCTCCTCTCCCTTTTTTTAAGCATTCTGGTGGTGTTACTTTGAACAAAATTATGTATTGGAATAAGTAAACAGTAGCCTTAGTCTCTGGATTAAAGCTGTCATAACAATTTATGCTTGTTCTTCACCCAGAGGGGGAAAAGCTCATCAGTGTATTTATACGACTGTATGTTCCAATACTCCTTGAAAACTTAATTCACTAATTTCTTTCAAATTCCTCCATTTTTCGGAATAATGCTATTCTTTGTCCTTCCACGTAGGACATGAGTTTGCAGTACGCAACAGGACAGTAAATGTGCCATTTTTACTTCATCCTGCCTCTGGGGATGTCACTTTACGGCCCAGGGAATTAATACTTTCCTTGTTTCAGATGCGGTATACCAAGTCTGGAACGTGTTACCTGTTTCCAGTTAATTGGGGAGAATGCCAGAGAAGGTTCAGGAAAAGAAGTAGTAGTGGAGATGTTCCCGTGTCATAGATGGAGCTTTATGGCATGTAGCAAAGGAGTTAACATCACGTAATGGGAAGAGCAGGTTGTTTCTGAATATGTTGAGTACTTTGTCTGAATCTTTCCATATTGTAGTGAAAACTGTGCAGGCTGGATTTTGGTTTTGTGTCCCCACATGCTGGATACCTTTATTCGCACCTGCTCATCAAGAGAAAGGTGTTGGTGCTTTTAGTACAGTTGAAGTGTTGCTCTTCCCCTGCACGAGGTTACTTGTGGTAGCATCTTTGTTCTCCCTTTTAATAGATTTGTCTGAGATTTTTTCAAACCTACCGAAAGAATGTGAATGTGTAGTTCCCGCTAACGGGGTGGAAGTGGACATCCTGATCTCCTTGGCAGATGGCAGACATGGCAGTCTAAACGTACAGGTCCGTGTCCTTAGGCTACCTAAAAAACACACTGTGGGGGTGCCTGTGTCAGCCATGTTTATGGCTGCTGAGTTTGTTGTTTACATTGTTTCACTGTCCACAAACCTGACCTTTTACTGAGCAGAAGATACTTATGCTTCCTGTCGTATACTAAAGGTGCTTCACCTCTCCTGTTTTGTAGTGTGATCTCTTGTACTTCTTCATATCCCTTCCATGAGAACACTTCCTGTATATTTAACTTCTTTATATTTTTCCTGCGTACCTGTTGCTATTGTGTGCAAGCATGGCCATTGGTATTTTCGTTTTATCTTTCACTACTTTGCTTGTGTTATATGTTTTCTCCCTAGGGCTGTTGCTGTTGCCCCTTCATAAACAAAATACTGCCCTTAATATTTGGCCATCCGTGACTTGTCCTGACATGTGAGACTAATGACCTGGACCAGCTGACAGAAACTGTTTTTCAGTGGTGTTAATCATTGAATCAGGATTTCATTGTCCCCCGAGTGGACCCATACTGCGTATTCTGAGCTAGAAACATGTTAGGCTTTCCGTGAAACCACTAGGTATCAGCATGAAATGAGGAACCCTTCCCCTGCGAGGACTGCACGGAAGGATTCCCTCAACACGACAAACAATCGCCAAGAGTTTTTGAAGATGAGAAAAGTGTATTTTCGTGCAGTTTCCTTTAAGAAAACCGAGAGATCCGTCTGATGCCTGTGCACAATTCCTGGTAGCATGGATGTCTGTTGAGCAACCTTGCTGGAAACGATCCAGCAATACAGGTGGCTGCCAAGGGCCCCCCCTCCCCGGGGCAGCAGAACAGAGCCTAATCACAATGGACTGCACTGTGTGGAAGTGGGTAATCAAAGGGGTGCACAGCACACCTCCCCTGCTTTCCCCCTGTGAGGGACACGGCTTGCTTCCTAGATTTCTCTCTCAACTAAGGACGTGAAACAAAATAGAGAAATTTTTACATTATCAAATGCTTTGATAAATTGTGTAGGCTGGAAATGTAAATGTAGCAATACGCAGGAGTGAGAGATGTGGAGCTTTTTTGCCTGTAGGTACCAAGTACTTCTGTACTGTTCCCCTCAACCTCATAGTGTTTTCTGTAGCAGCGCCTTTTACTTGGTTGCACTGTGTCTGAACATGCACGTGAATGATTTCACTCCTTCGCAGAGTGTATGCGAAGCTTCTGTACTTGTTATTTTTCATGTTTCTCTTTCACCAAGCCAGAAAGCGTTGAATGTGCAAAACACTTGCTTTCATTATTTTTTGTTATAAGAGAAGGGTCTTTTGGAAGTCTGAAATTTTTGTTTTGAGGGATTTTGAAATTTGGGTTCTTTCAAGTCAGAACAAACCCTCAAACTGTGCAATTAAAAATGATTTACACATTTTCAAGACATGCCTTTCTCTGCAGTCTTGCTTAGTCAGATGAAGAGGCCCAGCTCAGCTGAATTCATAAGGTGAAGTTGGTAAAAACTGTTCTCAGGAGCAGCAACAACCACTGATGCATGCTAGAGGAACTTCAGGGCAATTCCGAAGCACATAGTGCTCCCCTTTCTGGTGGCTGAAACTTGTCTAAATACAAGATTTTTGTGTTCTTTCAAATAGTCTCAGAAAACCCTGGAAATATCCTTTATTTTTTTAATCTGCTCTTTATAAGTGTCAAAAGTCTGAAAAATAATTACGTTAATAAGGTGGTTCAGCTGTACCCCTTCTTGCCCTGTCACAAGCTATATTCCATCTTGAGCTGGAAGTTCTAGGCAGGAACTTTTAATTTGATTTATTCCTCTTGCAATTTCTTGGGAAGATTGAACAGGTTTTGAAGAGATGTTCCTCCCATTCTAAAGCACAATTTAGCTTAGATTTCAATTCCAGACAAAAACAGCATTTTGATCTTTATTATGGTTTAAGAATTACAAATGACTTTTGTGTCATTTGCATTTGCACCCACTTAAGCCGAAGCGGTAGTGGAGGGTGCAGGTGAGCAAGCACAGTGGTGTTAATACATCGTATAGAACGGTTTTGGCTTGTTTTGGTTGGTTGGGAGTGTCCTTGCCTTTTCTTAACCACTTTCTGAGCCATCGTAGAAGGATTGTAAGATTGGTTCAAGGCTTAACAGCAAAATCTTCAGTAATGAACATTTCTGAGGGAGAACTAGGATTAAAAGTCCTGCATAAACTTAAATTCATTGCCACTAAGGTGTTACTGGAAGGCTTTTTTTGTAAATTCTTCTTTAGTCTTTTTTTTAATGGGTCTAATATGAGACTGAGATATGTTTGTTTCAATCTTGACATGCTTTATGCAAACTGGCACAGCATTATTAATTTTAATTCCCGACTTGTATAATGTTCTTAAAGATTGACCTTGTGTAACCGGTAATAATACATTGTCTGTTACATAAGCTAGGATTGGTATGCATTATGTAAATATATAAAACCAGAGTATTTCCTATTGGAGTTAAAAATTGATAGCATCCAGGTATGTGCC